CAATTACCTCTGCTAACCCAAAGAGTGAGTAGCATCTAATTTCTCCTTGATGGTATAGTTGCCCATAAATCAGACATTAAGGTCACAAAAAAGAGAAAATGATCACCAACTAAAGAAGCTATTGATTGTTAAACAAACTCTCCTTGTCAGACCTCAGGAAAAGTATAGAGAACAGTATGGAGAAATTGCATACTGATGTTTAAGTGTAAAGGGTGAAGAGTTTGACTATTATTATAGGAAAGCTTCAATGCCTTACTGATATCTGTTGGCTATGCATGAACTACATGACAGTACAAATGCTTTCAATCTGTTCTGCATTTACTGATGGTAATTGTTGGTTAGCAAGAAGATGTCAAGGGTTATCTTGATTTTATTTAGGATCACTCTTCTCCACATCATCTTCAATCAACCTCTGTTAATCCTTTTACCATTAGCAGTGACCAAAAGGGAAATTCTACTTTCTGTCTTAACAATTTTAAGCAGAAAAATTATGAGAATTAAGAATAATATCAACCAGGTCATATTCATTGACACTGTAACTCCTAGGAGTGATTAACATGTAACTTCTCCCCATAATATCCAGAAATTATCTAGCAAACAGGTCATGAGAATACTCAAACTTGCTAGGGAAAACACCCTGATCTAACTCCAAATTCTCATAACTAATTTACAAGGAAATGTGTAGCAACTAGAGGAGAGAATAAACAATCAGATCTTAGGAGTTAAATGTTAATTTCAAAATCTCAAAGCTTACATTATTAAAAAATGTTTAACAGACAGTGAGGAGAATTAGTTTTAATAGTTTGTTATTATATACAAAAAACATGACAACATCATGGAGGAAGGACTTAAGCCTGGCTTTTTCATATGACTTTGAGGGAACAAGTGATAAAAAGTGTCTCTACCAGTAGTTAATCTGTTAACTAAGTGTAAATTGCTATTTTTATGGACATGTTGTATTTGTTGCTCTCTATACACAGGTTGTGGGTGTCAATGATCCACAATCATCCCATCCTATTTCAGAATCATACCTTGTGGAAATCAGTCTTATGACCACAGTGCAACAGGTAATAGAACTAAGGAACCCTGTTTTTCATTTGTCACTAGTCAAAATTAAAGAAAAAAATTGGGTTCACCAGAAGGAATGAACCCAAGATCTGAGGTTTTGTGGTCCAATACTCTTTCAGAGAGCCATGGACAAATTTTGGTGAGCTAGAAGATGTATAAGGTTATATTTGACAAGCATTCATTATACTGATGGGATCAACAATTTCAGTAGTACTGTGAGTTTGTACCTCAGTGGTAAAGCATCAGACTGTAAAATCCAAGAGGTCTTGGGTCCCATCTGTTCTGGGGAAACCCTGATATTTTATTTTTCCCTCCATCATGAAAGAACAATACATAGGGTTGTTGAACAACTGTATTAAAAATGCAGTAGCTTCCTTTATGTAGTAATAGGTAGTGAAATTTCCAAGTGGTGGATAGAGACAGCTTATTTGCAACAGCTTCCTATGAATGGCATTTTTAAAATGAAGCCATAGAATGTGACAAGAAACTTTTTAAGTATCTGATCTCTCTGTAGGACACCTTGGCTGATGAGATAAAGGCTTTTGCAGAACACTTGAAGCCGTATCCTTTTCTTAAAAACTGTTATCCTTTTTTAATGCCAAAGGGATTATTATTGAAAACATTTGTGCTGGGCTCAATTTGCAGGGTTTCTTAAGTCAAGTGTTAAGTCCCCTAAGAAGGAAGTTTGTGCTTGGTGACAATTTGCTTTATATTAAATGAATCAACGTGCATGGATGTTCATGATTTTATGCAAGTTGTCTTATACAGACATTTCATCAGGAATATTTTTCCTCTGTCTTGTTGCAGAGGGGGAATCTTTACATTTGAATATATCTTTGGGGGGGTGTGTGCTAGGTATATTGGAAGAAGGGCAGGGCTCAAAATAAAATGAAAATCTCTAAATTTTAAATCCAAGCTGGTGAAGGCCCAAAGAAGTTTGTGTTCAGATTTGATTGATTTAGTTATAAATTTGCCTTGTTGAATTTCTTGGTTCTACTTTGAGGGGAATATAATTACTGATAGCCTAACTCCATAGTCTTAACACAGCTAAGCTTTTTATTTGCCATAACACAATTAATTAGTCTAGTTCACCTAGAGAAAGTTGATCACAGAAAACTACACATGACATAGCAAAGGACAGTTCTGGTAACCTTCAGTGGTTCATATGGCTTTACTATCACCAACTCACTACTGGAAGAGAGCTGTGTGCTTCTAAAGAAGTGATCCAGATGTGGTCTGTCAAGATTTCAATTCTTGCAAAGATTCATTGACGTTGAAGAAGGTCCATGATGTTGATGGTCTTTTTTTTCAGCTTGGGTTTTTGAAACAAAAATTATCAGATCCTTTAAAAAATGGACAGGTTTCAGTGAAACTAATGGTGATGACACTTCAAATTGAATGGAAAAGGTGAAAGACAAAGCATAGTGCTTCATCACCTTGTGCTTCTGGAACTGTTCTTCTGATGGAACATTTTAATGTTTCAACATCAATTCTGAGAATGTATAACACCTTGAGTCACTGGAGGCATAAACACATAGAGCTTCATAACATCATGCTGCAGGACTTGTTCTTCTGCAAGATGCATTCTAATCACTTGCGCACTTGATGCTTCATTGGAGAAAAATAGTCCTGAATGAGAGTTTAATCTTAACCATAAAGTACAGTACAACTGCAGCAACTATTGATAAACCCTCAGGATCCCTTTCACCTCCAGTGCACTACTCTGTAACATGAAATCTTGCAATACTGACTTTTAACATGTCTACTGGGACTAAAATGCTTTTTTCTCTTTTAACCTTATGTTAATGAAAAAAAAATTAATAAATAAGGTACAAGAGTACCACATCTTCTTTCAAGGACTTGATTCCATTAGTTTGGCGGAACCAATAGCAATATTTAACATTATGATCAGGACAATCTTGTTTAACTGTCATAGGCCTGTATTTACATAGCATTGATCAACTGTTATGCAAATTTGCCATGTATTCACATTTATTTATTCCAAAGTGGCCAACAATAAATGAAAAGGACCTAAATTGGAACTGATGAATGTTTTATTTAATTTGAGAAACACAGTTTTATGTTCTTTTTTAAGAAATATTTACCAACTTTTTTGTTTTTCATTTTCTGAGACTTAAAATTCTGTTAGAGTTGTCATATTATTCAGTTTCACCACACTTTTTTGCAGATGTACTCTCCTATACTCTCCCACTGACGCAGCATCACAGTTTTTTTAGAAACTTACCCCTTTATCAATGAGAAAAAATAGTTTGGCAATTATCATAGCAGTGACTCACATCATTGTTCTCAGTGCATTTTTCTTAGCCTCCTGGGCCCAGTTGTTCAAAGGCTGATCAGGGCTAACCAAGGGTTAAATTTTAATGTGCGTTTCATTATTCCTTTGTTCAAAAGCCTCTTTGGGACAATTTTCTTCATTCTTTTTTCTAAAAGGCATTCAATTATAAAATTGTAGACAAAGGGAATTGTACTGAATATTCTTTTAAAGCTTTCAGATCCAAAATCAGGTTTCGCATTAACCCTGGGTTATCTTAAGCCAGCTTCAAACAATCTGGAGATTACTCAGCCTCTTGGTCTATTGTAGTGTTTGCAGAATTAGAAAATATCCCTGGTCAAAACCACTGCGCCAAAATCGACTTTTTCAAATATGTTAAGAGGAGTTATCGAAATGGCCTATTTTCAAACTTCTTGATTAATTTAACCCATTGACACCTGAACCGCCCGTAACCGCCCGTGCCGCGTGGGGGACTTGCGCGAGAGACGCTTTCCCCCTATCTCCCCTACTAAGCAGAATTTTGTCTCCAAACTTCCTCTGTTGTTAGAGGATCTATAAACCAATCAGAATCCGTTTTTTGCGCAGTTATTTTGATAACTTTAGGGGGTAGTACAGAGGCGTCATTTTATGCGTTCACAAGAAATGATCAACTACAAAGAAATGGCGTACGCGCGGCCGACTTTCAATATTTTCAAGTCGGATTTTCTGTTCCTTTCCCACCACTTTAGACCTTCTGGAACACAGAATGAAAAGGAAAAATGCTATAGAATAATCTGCTCGAAAAATAATGGACATCACGGTCTTAAAGGCGACAAAATAAGCTTTCGAGTCGACAACACTACAATTCTCTAAAGCGATGCGAATTAGGGCCGTAAAGCGAAAACCAAACTATCGGACTTCAAGCGAGGCCTAGAGACATTATGAAGATTCAAAGGCATGGTAAATATCACGTTTGAGTAATGAGATGTCCAAAAAGTATTGTTTAATAGAAGATTTTGTGTTAAAACGTAGAACTTTCAGTATTTTCAACACAACGCTGCGCAATATTCTAGCCGTGAAGTCAAGTAAACATCGATCTAAGCATGATGAATTCTACTTCGTGGGTTTCGCACACGTAAGAAATTCGTACGTTTTTCGGTTCTAACAGAAAATCAAGAACTGTTTTGAATAAAGCTTTCTTCCCGAAACGTTCCTTGGTCAGTTTTGTCTTTCTCCTCATTTATAATTTCCATGTAACATGAGATCTCTCCACACACTGATGAATTTGCATATTCACTTTGAAATCCGATCCGCATACTTTTTTTGCACACGTGCGCAAAAATTTACTGATTTTTATCTTTTATCTTGATTTTAGAGTAAAAACTTAATATGCATCTATTGCTTTCCTCGTTGATAGTAAGTTATTTAAATGGTCTTCTCGTGAGCTTGTTTTTGGGAAAAAAAGATTTGTCAAACTTTACTGCGCATTGTGTTTACTTTTCCGGTTTCTCCAAAATTTTAACTTTTGGGTAGGCACGTGTTACACGTAGGAGTCAATGGGTTAAAGTTTGCGAAAAATTTAAGTCGACATCTTCCGCACCCTCTGAGCGGAAGAGCTTTACCCCACCCTGTTGAGGAATTTATCGCTTAGTCACGTGATAAGAATATACAACAACAGTAGAACGCTCCTGGTCAGCACAGTTTGTGTGCGCATGAAGCAAAAGGCGAGATGGGGACTCTTCGCTGTGTGAACTGTCTTCTCTTTTTCGTCTCAACTGTGCTTTTAGCAGATGTTCACAGTGTAGAACAAGGTAAGATTTTTCTATCATGGGGATTGCAGTTTCACGCAATACTCCTTTTGATGGAAAGATCAGACATAGAAATTTGTTTCTGGTTCTTGACAGGAACAGATGAGCTGAGACTTCTCGCTATAACTGTAGCAACGGACGAAACAGATGGCTATAAAAGATTCATGAGATCTGCTAAAGTTAACAACATCGATGTGAAGGTATTCTTAAATTATTCATGCGTCTTTCCATTTTGTGGTCTGCTGGGTTAACGACATCATAACCAAGTCATACAAATTCCCTCTTTTCTCCGTGCTGCTTTGAAAATGTTCGTTAGGAGCTCACAGCTTTGTTACTGTTTTGACAACATCAATCCTTGGCTTTTTGGAATTTGTTATTTCCATTTTTCAAATGGCATTTAGTACAGAGCCTTATGAACTGTGTTTTACTTCTTTGATCTTCTTTGATCGCTGTATTTTAGGACAAGTTCGTGACAGTGCATAAATCTTCAACGTGCAAATTTCACACGTGTTATTGTTATGCTTCAGCAACGTAGGTGTAAATATTCATTTGATTCTCTAAAATAGAGGGTGATATAACTGCCTCAAATCCCTTTGATTTTGTGGGTAAAAAATGATTAGCGAACCTTGCTCGGAATTTTTCCGAAAGTTGTCACTTCCATGAATCACACTCATACTAATAGCCTAATGTTTTTATTATATTCGATTCTTTCAAATCTTGGCCGGTCACTTGCGGAAGTAGGACATAAAAAATGTCTCCATGTCAGAACAGTTTTTAATTTTTTTCCACAAAATCTAACAAAAACCTGTCGCACTTAAGATCCTAAAGTTGACGGTCGATTTCGCGTTTATATTTTGTAGACGTCCACGTCGACAGGGAAAAACCGATCAAATTTCATGTTATGAAAGAGCCCTTGATCTTTTGAAAAATTCAGCGTTGTTTGAATGAATAGTCTGTTGTGTGAAGTTTACGCGAGAATTCGCACGTTCCTGGCAAATTTTTGATTTGATGTTATTTGGGTTTTGCCGAGAATTATCTGATGTCTCAAGTTATCGCTAAACGAATAAATTTGAGTGGGACACTATCATTTTTCCCAAATGAAGGTCAATTAACTTATATGTAAATACTACTGGAGCAGAGTGTTATTTGAATTGGTGCCTTGCTCAAAACATTTAATGTCAAGTCAGTAATATCAAGGTATCTCCCTAATTTCTTCTAAATTTTTTTCTATTCTTTTTGCTGTTATTTGGCGGTTTTATAGGGATATCTTTGATATGTTAAGGAGGCAATTAGTGATTAGTGCTCTGAATTATGAATCAACTATTTAGGTTTTTAGGCAGGGTTAGAACAGTGAAGTGCCCCATGATCAAGATTTTCCAAAGTCATCATTTGGAGACCAAACTCAGAAAATGGCTACCTGAAAAAAACAATTCAGTTAGCAGTGGCTGGCAACCATTTTTCAGGGCTCACATGAGTTCTCAAGACTTAACACTCACAACTAAGGAGAAAGAGGCAACAATAGAGCATGAATAGTAATCTTTGCACATCTTTATCTCAATTTACCTGCCTAACATCAGTATGCATTTTCTCCATACTGTTCTTTAATCATTTCCAAAGGTGCTGATAAGGAGAATTTGTATACGAATTAATACTTCTAATGTTGGTGATCATTTCCTTTATTCTCATGACATTAATGTGTGGTTCTGTGGTGCTATTGTAAGGAGAAATTAGATGCTAGTCACTCCTAGGGTTTTAAAGGGTTAAGATATAGTGAAAAATGAAAACAAAATGTAAAACGAGACACAAAAAAGAAATGGAGAATAAAAAATGACAGAAATCCTTCAGAATATTGAAATCTCTAACACTGCATGTATTTCAGCTGTGATACCAGCGTGCAATAATTATCATTTTGATGATGAATTTTATATTTGATACCAAGACATAGTGTTTGTGTTTGTTGAAAGGTCCTTGGGATGGGAGAAGAATGGCGAGGTGGAGATGTGAAGAATTATCCAGGAGGAGGGCATAAAATAAACATTCTAAAGAAGGAGACAGAACTTTACAAGAATGACAGTAATTTAGTTCTTATGTTTGTGGATAGGTGGGTCATTGCCAAAAATGTTTTTTATTTGTAAATATCAGCACACCAAAAATACTTTATGCAGCACTTAAGAAATCCTTCAATGTAGTTTGTTTGTTTACTACAGTTTTACTATGTTGCTTTTCACATTGAAAGTCAATTTGACTATTGTTTTAACATTATTATTTTTTTTATTATTTTCATAGTTATGATGTGATTTTACTTGCCAAACCTGAAGAATTCTTGAAGAAGTTTCTGGACTTTAAAGCTAACATGGTCTTTTCTGCCGAAGGATTCTGCTGGCCAGACAGATGGCTCAAAGTAATTTCTATTTTTCATAATCTTAGCAATGCACATACAATGCATGCACACTGCACATAGTGGTATCTCTCATTTTATTTCTTTGCTTGTCCTTTCATCCTCTTTTCTTTTCATCAAGTATATTGAAAATATCATAGTGCCACCCTTCTCCACTTTGGTGATTCAAGCTTAAAATCCAAAAAGACAAAATGAACATATGAAATGAAATGGTGGGCTCTTAACTGTGTTGCCCTTTTTCAGAGGTGCCTCATCCATCTTTTTCTCATTTTTTCAGTCTTTTTTTAATCCTGATTTCTCTCATCTTTCTTTCTCAGTTGTTCTTTACTTCTCCTCTTCTTCTGTCCTTTTGTCCCTCACTGTTGCTGTTATCTTTTCTGTGCATGTCCGTTTTTTTTCCCTTTTCATTACTCTCTCTCACTTTGACCTTGAATTCATCTGTAAACATCACATGTATTTGATATATATACAGTATATGTATTTTTTTTACATTAAGAGAAATATAACTATATGGAGTTGCTCTTTAATGGTGAGTGTGGCTTTTTTTTTTTTAGGACCAATACCCTGAAGTTATTCATGGAAAGAAATATCTTTGTTCAGGAGGTATTATAATACTGTTTTGAAGTCAGTTCTACTCCAATTTTACCAGATCTAGTGAATTCCTTTCCCTTGGAGGGGCAACTGTCCTCCTTTTAATAAGAATTAAATAAAAAACTTTTAGCGCAATTCTGTCTACATGTACATGTACCATAAATCCATCTCCTACATATTATTGTACTTATCTAGCTTTGTTTAATTACTCACATCCTTTGTTTACAGACCATATAATTATTCCAACCAGTTGTGTAATTAATAATCAATTGTGTGGTCTTGAGTTTCCTACAACAATTTACATGTAGCATATATTTTTGTATTATAGGTTTTATTGGCTATGCACCAGTATTTCACCAGGTTGTAACTGATCATGTCATTGAGGATGTAGAAGATGATCAACTGTATTACACCAAGATATTTCTGGACAAGCAGAAAAGAGTGAGTGAATTTATTTCATTTTCTATTCCAAGAAGGATGACTGCTTGGATATTTATTATAATCTTTACAGAGTTCAAATCTGGTGTTATGAGGGAGAAGGTTACTTATATACCAACCTTTTAATATGGGATACTCTAATTCATACTCACATAGGGATGATTTTCTTTTCATGTATTGTTACCTGAACTCTCTTACCATCCACTGGTTAAAATGTAACAGACAATGCTGCATGGTGTGCTAATCAAGGCCATTTAAAATTCCCCAAGATGGATGCTATATTGCTGATTTAAAATTTTGTTTAATAGGAGGGGAACACCTATTAGAAGGAGGGTGCTTAATTGTGGGGGAGGGGGTGCTTATTTAAAAACTACGCGTACTAACCTGCACTGATTCTGCTGTAATTGAAGCTGAAAAAGATAAAAATAAAAGTGGTAATGGAAACAGGTTTTCATTTTATCCCTGTTATTAAACTGAGGGAGGAGGGGGAGGTGATTATTCAGGAGGGGCACTTGTTTGATATTGTGGCCTAAGGGGAGGGCACTTTTTAGAGGGTGGGCACTAACACTAAGTATTAAAGGAAATACAGTAATTACTGACTCTGCTCCTCTAAGGGTGAGTGTTATCTTGTTTTGCAGGATCAGTTGAAACTGAGGCTAGATAATAAAGCAGAGATCTTCATGAATTTGAATGGAGCAGAAGGTGCACAATTATTTACTATAATTCTTGTTAATCTATGGTGCTTTAATTTATTTAATTTCACTTTTGTTCTTTGAATGAATGTTTCACACAAAGTTTTTTTCCTTTTTTGGTCAAGAACTCAAATACTATGATCATAAATCTCTGGAACAGTACATAAATATTTCATCTGGAAATAGTAAAAGATGATCTTTGATATTCTAAAAGTGCAAAGTTTTGTTCTCAAGAAGTATTAGCAGGGGCTTTAACCCTTTAACCCCCAGAAGTGATTAACATGTTACTTCTCCCTATAATATTCAAACATTATCCACCAAATAGGTAATGAGAATACTCAAACTCATCAGGAAGGAAACATATAGTAGCTAGAAGGGAGAATTAACAATCAGATCTAGGGAGTCAAAGGGAAAGACTCATTCCTCCAAGCTCTGAGATGCCCAGCCCCCTAATTAAAAGATTTTACAAAAATGGAGTTAGAACTGTACATGTACATGGATGCTAGTTGCCCATCTGGGGCACCTGGACTCTGGTAGAACTCAGGACTTCTTGGTTTGTCAAATCAGCATTAAAAATAATGTTCATTTGTCTTTACTTGTCAGAGGAAGTAGAAATCAAGTTCAGTGATGACAAGGCATGGTTGGTGAACAAGGAATATGGGACAGAACCACTGGTTGCCCATGGCAATGGTCCCAGTAAGGTACTTGCCAAACTTTTGTCTGATCAGCAGTTGAGGATAAAATACTCATTCTTATTTTGCCAATAAAGATCAACTAGCACAGACAAAAATTACTAAAAACACTTGCTTTCATTTGGCTTTTGGTACTGACATTCACTTTGGCTGATATTAAAAGACCAATATCACTACTCTTATGTCCCTCTTTAACTTATAACATATGGTGAAAGGTCAGGTACCAGTTATAAGACAGGTTTTACTGATATACACCGCATACATGTATAGTTAGTATGTATAGAATCAGACTGAGTCATGAATTTTTTTGTATTTCAGTTGTTTCTAAATTATCTAGATAACTACCTGCCTGATAAATGGAATTTCAAGGATGAATGTACTGCATGCTCTGAGGATAGAATATCTTTAGACAGTCTCAAGGTATGTTTACCTTGTGTAGAAGCCTTGAAAGCTTCCTAGATACTTGAATATATTGTGTGGAGCACAAGCAACTACTGCAATCATGCAAATTAAAGTACATGGTTACCTTGTAAATATTCCTTTTTCCTCTTTATCCCCCCCCCCCCCCCTTCATCCACACAAATAGTTTAACAGTAAATTATTGTTATTGTGCTGCAAATACCATTGACCCCATCTGGCCAAATGTTAGAATACTCCCTTTATACATTTATTTTAGAATTTTTCTCTGTTTCAACATACATTGTACCAGTGCATGGTTTTCCATTAAGCATAAACCTGTAGATGGAATACCTACCATGTCACTGTAAATTGATGTGTATCATATATACATGTACTTTTATCACATGGCTCATGGAGCCCAACTCACCCACTCTTACAGAGAATCATAGTAAAAGGTGTAGTGTGGGGCCAGACAGGTTGATGTGAGTCAGCCTAGAAAAAGTTATCTGGTGATGCATTCATACATGAAAAATCATTTTCAAAACAAGTTCCCTCTAGTTGCAATTGTGAGTTTCTTGTTCAGAGAAAAGGAGGAAAGGTTGTTTTTTTGTAGGATGTGTTTGCAGTTTTCCAGTGGTAATTTTGTAGGTAATCACTTCCTTTTTTGGTTCAAACAAAACTTCAAAATTTTAACGACTTATTGATCATGTAAGGCAGGAATAGTAAAGCAGACCAAAAAGCATAGCGCACACAGCCAACTGGTTAAACAGGTCTTTTTTTATGGTACAAAATAACCATACAACATTGCAGGGTATTTGTACTCTATTTGTGCATTATCTGTACTGTACTTTGTGCAGTTGGATAATAAGTACATTTATTATCCATCTGCACTAAGAAGAGTACAAATTGTGGGAATCACAATGGTTATTTAATTTGTAGTGTAAGAAAACCTGTTTAACTAGTCAGTTGTGTGAGCTTCACTTTGCTATCTGCTTAGTTTTACCTACATTATAAGAAATGTGGCTAAAATATAGCACTTATACAATAAATAACTTGTTAGACATTTTGGTGTGTAGTGTTGCTGAGTATTTGTACTTGTGGTTTTTATTTTGACTTGCCCTACAGGCTTGTAGAAAATACAGCACAACTTTTAAAAGTATTCACTAATATTACACACCAAAACGTCTAATAAGATATATCTACATACATGTAATTTACCTTTTGGAAATAGTCTTACTCCAGTGACCTTTTGCCTCTAGTACTCATACTGAGTACGTACTTGCATGCTATTACTTCTAGGAAGAGGAGTATCCTAAAATCCTGATGGGCTTTTTTGTGGAGAAGCCAACACCTTTTATACCAGAGTTTCTGAACAGAATGATGCAGCTAGAGTATCCCAAGAAACGCATTGACCTATTTATTCACAATACAGTGAGTACTACATGTACCAGTTGTCAACTGAGATTTTGTGCTATTATTTGTTATTTTTCTGAAATTTTTTATTTTAATTATTATTACTTTGATCCCTTCCCCCAACTGGATGGCCCAGTTTGGGGGAAGCAAGGAGGGTTGTCATTTAAATTTATTATCCAAATCATCATCATCGTTATCATCATAATCTAATTGTACATCTATTTTATTTTCTCCTTCTCCATTCTTGATAGTCATCATTGTCATCATTGTCATCATAAAAATTAGTGTCTCACTTGTTTGTTTCATTGTATATTTGATGTATTCATGTATTCGCTGTTAAGGTAACTGCTGTTAGTATTTCTGGTCATAAGTTATACTGGTCTTACTTTACATCTAGGTTCCATATCATAAGTCACAAATTGGAGAATGGCTTACAGACAAGATCAAAAGGCAGTTCAACTCGATTACTGTGCTGCAACCTGAAGATAAGGTGACTGAGTATCAAGCCAGGAATCACGCCATGTATGTGTTATTGCTTCCTTTTGCAAAGACAAAACAAAAACATATGTTGACTTCATGTTGCTGAAGAATATTAACCCTTAAACTCCCATGAGTGTCCCTCAGGAAGCATTTCTCCATACAGTATCAAAGTAGTACCTCATCAAGCAGAAAAGTGATAGGAATAAAAAAATGTATCAATAAGGGAATTACTAGTTGATCCAATACAAATTTTTCAACATACCATCCCAAGAATTGTATGGCAGATAGTAAGGAGAATTACTATTGAGATTTTGGAAGTAAAAGGTTGTAGTGATAAATAAAGGGAAACCTGTAAATGCTTATATTAGATTCTCTTAACTAACATTTCGGAAAGTGTTTGTTAACTGTTATAGAGAATTTTCACTTTAATCTCTTAGTTGAAATGTCTGATTACAAGTTTCCTGTAATTTTCTTCAATCAGTGAGATGTGTGAGGAAAAGAAGTGTGACTACCTGTTCACAGTGGATGGCTCTGTTGTTCTTACTAACAAGAACACACTGAAGATTCTCATTGAGCAAAACCGGTCAGTTAAAAACATAAGCTTATCTTTTTTCTTTTGCAACATCAACAAGATCAAATGCGGCTAATTTGCCTTGCTTTGGTTATGCAATGCCTTAAATGTTGGCACATACAGTCAACTCTCTCATAAGCAGACATCCTCAGGAATTGGCAAAAGTGTCTGTTAGTAGAACTGTCAACTACAAGAATTATTCTTATAAGTGAACACCAAAGAAAAATAGGGTGTACATGTACACGTCTGCTTATGGTAACTTTTGCTTCTTTTGCTCTGTCAAATGTCATTTTTTTTATTTCCAGTTCAGTCAGATTTTATTGCCATTAGTTAATTTGCAAGCACTTTTTAATTCTTTTCCAAGGTCCTAAAATTTGGAACTCTCCTCCTGTTTCAGTCACTGGTTCATCAAATGTTCTGAGCTTTAAGAGGAAAATACAAGAGTCTTTACTTTTTAAATAACACTGACTTGGCCAACTTGCATCCATTCTAATTGAGCTATTTCATTAATTTCTAAGGCCTGTTTTAGCTCCCATTGTCTCGAGACATGGCAAGCTATGGTCAAACTTTTGGGGTGCTCTGGGAAGTGATGGATTCTATGCCAGGTCGCGTGACTACCTTGCAATTGTCCAGAGGCAAAGAAAGTAAGTGCAGTGTATCTCTTAAACTTTCACCCTTTCATTTCCTCTTCATTACAATATCAATGGGAGATGTGGTGGCGTAGTGGTTAGTAAGCTGGACTCTATGTTGAGAGGTCTGGGGTCAAGACCTGGCTGGGTCATTATGATGTGTTCTTTGGAAAAACAGTTTACTTTCACAGTGCTTTGCTCCAACTCGGAGTATAAATAGGTATTGGCAAACTGTAAGGAAAGCTTGAAATGGTGGTGAGGTAACTTTGCAATGGACTGTTGTCTCATCCAGGGGGAGTAACACTTTCTGCTCTTGAAACCTGGGTGAGCTGCAGGAGCATGGACCATTTTGTTCAATTGATATTTACTTATTTCGCTGCAATATCAATACATCTCTCCAATCAGAAAGGTGATGAGACAAAATAAACATGTACAAGGGGATAGGTTGTGATTGAACACAAAATTCTCAGCACTAAAATGATCAGAAGTTGTGGCAGGCAGAGCAGAGAATAGATAGTTAGATCTTTGGCGTGAAAAGGTTGAATAACATGAAAGTAATGATAATATTTTTAGTAAGATCTTAATCTGTCCATTTTCTGATTTTAACTGGACCTAAGCTAATGCCATTTTTTCACAGGGGTGTGTGGAATTCTGTCTTCATCTCAAGTGTGTTTTTAATCAAGAAAGAAGTCTTAAAGAAGATGCATGGAAGTTTTGGTCCTTCCCAGCTTGATCCAGATATGGCTATGAGCAAGTTTTTAAGGGATAATGTGAGTAAAACAGTAACAAGTCAGCAATTAGATGCTCACGATGTTACCAAGCTATAGTGCAGCACTGCAATATTATTTTCTTAACAGATAAAATTGTGTGTTAAGTAAGTAGAGTACATCTCTGAGACTGGGAAAATCCATTTGATTGGTCACAAAAGTGAATGCTGTAGCTACAGATGGTATGCTCAAGCCAAACTGTTGATATTTATTTGTTTTTGAAAGTTCCAGTGCAGAGCTGAACACAATTAAATTTCTAATAAACATTAATTTAGTGTCGTGTTTCCTTTAGGGAATTTTCATGTATGCCACCAACCTACATGAATTTGGCCGCTTGTTAGAGACAGAGAACTACCGCACAGATCATCTGCACAACGACCTGTGGGAGTTGTTTGATAACAAACTGGTAAGCTCTCATTCAATTTTTTGTACCTCCAATTGGGATTACTCCATCATAGAGGCTCTGTGAGGATGGGTGGCACTAAATGATATGAATTTGAATTGCTCTATAATGGAAGTTGAACTTATGAACTTGTGCTATTGCCAACCCTTCAAACCCCAAGAGTGACGAGCATCTAATTTCTCCTTACAGCAATATTGCTGAACCATTCATTAAGATGATGAGAATTAAGGAAATGATCGCTAATCTGAGAGGCTTTGATTGTTAAACAAATTCTCCTTGTCAGTACCAAGCAAAATGTATAGAAAAGAGTATGGAGAATGTGGATACTGAAGTCAGGGTGTAAAGGGTTAAACCATTAGTATGGTCTCAGAATAAAAATGCAGGACAAAAAGTTTAATCAAGGGCCTCGTTATGACATCCGTTTTATAATCACGCAAATTAAAATGTTTCCACTTCCAAAACTTATTAAATACTTTCGCCAAATGTATACTTAAGTGAAATAGATTCAAAATGATGTTTGCCAAGAAGCTTTTTTAAAAGTGATCGCTGTGGACATCTTTCGATTTTTTGGAACGTTTCGTAGTTTCTCGGGCGTCTTCAGAAATTATCTGGTGCCCCACATAAGTCTCATAGCAGTCTCACGTTTTTTACCGAAAAGATTGAAAGTTTTGTCGTGTGTATGAGAAATACACACGACAAAACTTATTTTATTCCTGGTATAAGAGGTAAAGTGAAACAAGTATTTGATGAGACAAATTTGTTCTGATAACTTTTAGTTGTTACATTTGAAGGTGGTGTGATATGATGTTGTGATTATGTGTTCCAGGACTGGGAAGAGAAATACATCCATCCAAACTATTCCCAAAACTCAAACCTCAGCATTTCCATTGATGAGGTAAGAACGTTATTTATTATCCATGCAGAGTGTACTTATTGGTAACTGACTTTTCCCAGTCAGAAAGGTAACTCGGCGAACAAGCCAGACTCGCATATTATTGCTAGCATGTGGAAAGAAGCAGTAAGGAGTCCTTGTACCCTCCCTGGGTGGGATACTGGTCCATCGCAGCTCATCTCGTGAGCTATCCTTCCCCCTCCCCAAGGTGGAGAGTTTTGTCGTTCCCAAGGACAGAATACCATAACCCAAACCAGGGCTTAACCCTTTATTTCCCAAGATCTGATTGTTAATTCTCCCTTCTAGCTGCTACACTGCTTAACTAGTCATGAGAATTTGGTGTTAGTTCAAGATAATAACTTCTACCTGACAAGTTTGAGTATTTTGAATACCTGTTTGCGAGAATTTGGTGTTAGTTCAAGATAATAACTTCTACCTGACAAGTTTGAGTATTTTGAATACCTGTTTGCGGGATAATGTTGGATATTAAAGGGAGAAATTATATGTTCATCACCTCCGGGAGTTGAAGGGTTAATCTGGGTGCCCACCTTGTAGGCCACTTCATCTCTTGCCGTTATGAAGAAAGCACCTATCGAAGGAGCTACAGATGAATATAATGTAATTTCAGTCATATTGAAGTGAACAAGTATTGGCCCGCATACTAGGCTGGATTGCTTATGTACTAATGCAAGAGTTGCTGAAGACCATGGAATGTTTATGGAAACAAAATACGGAGTAGGCGTTCTGACTCAAAAGTTTACCGCGGCGATTAAGCGGTTTAGATAGGGAAGGGATGGGGAAAAGCTTACAGAGCTCCCCTGCAACCAGTTTCGCTATTTGATTTCTCCACTAGTCGTTTTAGGTTAGTAGCAACAGCTCTTGGTAGTCAACCTAACTATGAGGATCTTTCTAATGAGACAACGGGCCGAAAAAGTAGACTTTCTGTCGTACTTTTTTTTCTATTTTAACAGGAAGTGTCTTTTCACGGAAGACAACACTTAGCATGTTTTTTTTTTATGATTGGGCGATCCCGTGTAGTTCTTACATTTCGAGAAAAACGTTTTTAAGACATATTTAATTGAATGTTTTATCTTAGCCCTGTCCTGATGTGTACTGGTTTCCTCTTGTGTCGGATACGTTTGCCAAGCATCTCATTGAGGTAATGATAGTTAGGATGTAGAGAATAATAATAATAATAATAATAATAATAATAATAATAATAATAATAATAATAATAATAATAAAGTGATAATTTTAACAGTGGCTCATCGACTGTGTATCCATCGCTAATGGCTTTTGACCTGTTCACTATTAAAAGTATATTTCAAAGTTGCTGTCTGTTTTCGATTGTTTATCTTTAAATTTAGGAAACCGTTACTCGTAAATGATGAGTGAAACCATTTGTCTACTTTCAGTGTTAATTTTCCTATATTTGTTTCCTAGGAAATGGAATATTTTGGTGAATGGTCAGGTGGAAAACACGAGGTGATCACTTGCTGCCTGTCTCTTCGACAGTTCTCTGTACTAGACGTCACTTTGTCACAGATTTGTGCCTGTCATTGTATTAAATGTTTTTTCTCTTTCATGTCACATTCTTCTTAGGACAAGCGACTGTCAGGAGGTTACGAAAATGTACCAACAGACGATATTCACATGAACCAGGCGCGTATCTCTCATTACTACTTTACGGTTTCATTTTCTTCATCAAGGAGGTGGCGTGGCCGAGTGGTTAGGGTGCTGGACTTGTAATCTGGTGGTCCCGGGTTCGAGCCCGCCACCCTGCCATGTATTTGATTTGTTCTCGGTCACCTCCAGTTCAACTCATCAGCTGTGCTGTGTAAATAGCCAACTGGTCTGCCTCCTGCCAGTTGGGATTAATTTTTTTAGCACTTTATGTTGGTTTCAGTCATCGTAAAGTGCTATTGGATACCGATAGAAATAGCGATATATCAGTAAAGTATTATTATTGTTATAATTATTATTATTATTATCATTATTATTATTATCAAGCAAGATAGTAATCTAATAATCTTTGCCATTTCTCTGGCCTGGCTCTTTTCAGGGTCTGTTGGCGTATTGAAAGCTCTGCAAACCCCCCCTTGAAATAGAGGTTCCATTGTTCTTGCAATAGCAAGAAATAGGCGGAGAGTCGACATAAAACCGACGATGAGCTCGGGAAACTGAAAAAAAAATCGAGTAGCATGATAAGGAGCCATAGTTCACCAATGCTGGATGCTGGGAATGCAACCCTTGTCATTCGCGGTTAAAGTGAGGCCGCAATAACATCTTTTTCAGCAATCCACCTGCATTGTTATTTTAACGTCCATAAATCAAGGGGATTTTATCCCGCCTTCATTTGTATTACTTATGTTGTTTTTTTGTCTGCAGATTGGCTACGAGAGACATTGGCTTCACTTTCTCAAGGAATACATTGTACCCGTGAATGGAAGACTTTATCCAGGGTACCACTCTGAGGTAAGAAATTATGGCAACCCCTAGACACTCTAACATCAGCATGCTTGTTCTCTATGCTATTTCTTATGGTAATGGCGATCATTTCCCTTATTCTCGTTAGCTTAATGTTTGATTCAGCGATGATACTTTAAAGAGAAATTAGATGGTAGTCACTCTTAGAAGTTATAGGGTTTGATACGCGTAGAGTAGAAAACGAGTTTTGTGAGGTCTCGGTGAGCAAATGTGTCACGCCATGGAATTGATTTTGACATTACAGTAAAGCTTGCACAACAGAATTGATTTGATGACTGAAAGCCAGTTTTTGATTCGCTCGACAGTTGGTACTTCCCGAAGTCTTGTCGAACACAGTGCGTATCGGCCAGAAAAACGTCGACTTGCTCCCCACTTCATACAGTGTAACTTGAACATTTTTATTCTGTCTTTCAGGCTCGTTCTATCATGAACTTTGTGGTAAAATACGATCCAAACAGGCAGTATTATCTTAGACCGCACCACGACGCTTCTACATACACAATCAACATCGCCCTAACAAGGCCAGGAAAAGACCATGGGGTGAGAATTATCAATTTTCGTTGGTCAGTAACCCTGAGAGATCTCATACTGATAAATTACCTCACACTGTGTCGCCAATTTTAAATAACACTATCCATCTTGAATTTCTGAGGATATCCGGGATTACATTGGGTTTGCTTCCTTGTATCCTGTGATTGGCACGAAAAACTTGCACCATTCTCTCTTAACCAATCAAAAACAAAACTAAAACCATTTGCGTCTAAATCACTCACGTTCTTCTGCGCTTCAAGCTGTGTACATGTTTTAAAGTTTACTTCTTATTGATTCCTTGAGATATTTTCCTAGGGATATTTTCTACGAGTGTTCGTTTTGGTTCCAAACGTGGTGACTCGTTTTTTATCAATCAAACAGTTAGCGCATCAACGCAGAAATAAGGCAACTCAAACCATTTCCGAATTTTTAACAGCAACCTACGCAATATTAAATTCTGTGGCTACTTATAATTTCATAGTTTGGTCGTCATGCTAAAGTCTATTTTTTCATTTACAGGGCGGGGGATGCAGATTTTTGCGCTATAACTGCCAAGTGACAGAAACCCGTAGAGGCTGGTCGTTTATGCACCCGGGAAGACTCACTCATTACCATGAGGGGCTGCCTGTAACATGGGGGAAGCGATATATTATGATATCATTTATTGACCCTTGAATAGACGAAATGATTCTTTAATATCAGAGTTATAAATCCTATTTCAGTATGAAGTCTAAGACGCCAAATAACAAAGTTATTTTTGATCAAATTCTATTTTCTTTCCCCTGAATGCCTTTTCAAGAGACTATTTTCATACCACGATGTCAAGTGTTTTGTTTTGCAATTTTTTTAGCAATAAATGCGCTGTGAAAAGTTGTGATTGTCCAGTTTAAAAAGTTAAAGTGTTCTGGTGCTAAAAGTTAACCAGTCTTCTTACTGTCGCGAAAGGATTCGCAGTTCTTCCTTACCACTGCAAATGTTGCTTCGTTATTTAGTTAACCCTTTACACCTTAACATCAGTATCCATATTCTCCATACTCTTCTCTGTTTTTCGTTTGGTGCTGACAAGGAGAAATTGTTTAACGATCAAAGTTCTTAGGTTGGCGATCACTTCCCTTATTCTCATGATCTTAAATGAATGATTCAGCAGTACTACGGAAAGGAGAAATTAGATGCTAGTCACACAGGGCTCGATTGGTTAAAGAAGTATGCTTTATAAAGCTGGTATAAATTTGGATCCTCGCGAATCTTTCGCATTACATTGACCGCCTCTTGAGGTTCTTTAGAGTGATAATTTTATTCACGCTGTCAGTGATCTTCTTCACTAAGGAATACCTCACAAATACACGAGTAACATTAAACTGTAAGGGTAGCGGAAGAGCACTCGAGGTATGGCTGACATCTCATCCACACGGAGAAATGATTCTCAATTGCTTCGAGCAGCATCACACAGTTAACCTGACAGGCAGAAGAACTGTTTTACCGTGTTTTTTACTTCTTTTCTTAGCTCTCTCATCTTCCAGCAGTACAGGAATGGGTTTAGAGTCGAGTTAAAGTACATCAGAGATATCGTCAGAGCCCAGGCGAAAAGAATTGACGGTGTGTGCAATCCAGCTGTCATATAAACGGAGATGAAACCAAAAGGGAGATAACAAGCCAGTAACGCCATTTGTACCCACAATGCTGTGGACACTGTCTTTTTGTATCGTGCTCTGTTTAGCAGAATTCCTTCCCCATTCGGTTGTTCAGGATAAACTTGTCCTTGAACGAGTGTTTGAGAAAGACGGAGTGTGCGATAAATTTTGTTGTAGCAGAAAGTAGAGATTACAATGCACAACACAAGTGCTGCACAAGCGATGCTTAAAGCGAGACGATGACTGTAAAACGCTACCATTGCAACTAAAGTGCTAAAAAGCCAAAGGGCAATAATAAGGACTTTCACTCTCCACGCAGTTACCATCTGTCTGTATCTTAGCCCCAGCAACAGAGCAAGAAGTCTGTCTACGCTTATTGCGGTCATTGTTAACAAAGATACACCAGCGAACACAAAACCGGTGGTATTGAAAAGGATCCAAAAGGCGTCACAACCAAACCAGCGCTCTGGAGAAAGAAAAAGACCATTGAGAAGAGGATGCGAAATAAGGCCCACCCCCAAATCGGTGCACGCCAAGCAGCCGAGCAAAAGTTTCGACGGTGGATGAAGAGAGGATACCTTTCGAAGAGCAATGATGATCAAAATATTTCCCAAAATTGCAGTGATGGATAGAGGAACTGTCAACGTCAAAGACAATATCTTATGACTGGCCGCTGCTCCAAGACCAGAAGTACAGATCATTTGCTTTGTTGCCACATATTTTCTATCTTCTGTTAAATTCTCCATTGCTTCAGTGTGATTTTTTTCCTTTTACTCTTTTTTGTTGTTTTAAGCCGAGAAGGATCAGTTCACAGCAGTCGCTTCAACGTGATAATCATGAAAATGATTCTTCAAACTATCCCGCTGAAGTTTGTAAAATGTTAAAATCTAAATGCAATTATCTAAAGCTCCTCATTTTGGCTTTGACTTACGATCATGCCAAACGTTGTGGGAAACCGTTTTTTTTCAAAGATAAGTTACATTTGAACTCTTCCAACTAAAAAACACGTCTCTATAGGAAAATCCCTCACGTGGAAATCCTGCGGCAACTCACCTCATGAAGTTGTTTATCATCGCATTAGGAACTTACATAGAACAGCGACAGTACAGTCAACATTTCAAGTACGTGACGAGGCGAAAGGCTTAAGGGAGAAAAACAATTTTGCACGTGCGTTTTAAACTTTGAACGTTCCGTTGCTGTCGAATGAAAATCACCAAATACCAGAGCATTTTAAATATTCTATTTTTCAAGGGCTAAGTAATCAATGATCCCGGGGTACCTTTTGAAATTAAGAGGTCGCTGGAAAGAACAAGCAATTCACTTTATTCCGAGTGATAAAGAAATACGTAAGACAACTTTCGCCACAGGAAATGACTTAATATTGGCTTTTCGTGCCCCTTTTTCCTGATGCACCCAGTAATGTGTTGTTGGTAGGTCTTAAAATCTTAAACGCACGATTTTTGCTGATAGTGTCGAGGAATATTAATTTCGAATCAACTCATGGATTAAATGTCCTCGTAAATATTAATTATGTGACGGAATTGTAAATGATTGCATTAGAGAGTGTAACAGATTTCATAACAATGGTACATTTACAAAGTCTGCGGTTGATTTACTGTAACAGAGATGTAATTGCACGCGTTTAGTCCGCCTAATAAGGAAGGAGAAACGTGCTTTTGGGTAATAAGAATTAAATATAGACGCATTACAATAGGTTGGCTTGGGAATTTACTGCACTCGTGATTGTAGGGAAAGTACTAGCTGGTAGTTACGCAAGGCGAACTATGAAAGACCGTAACAGATATAGTTTAAGTTAAATTTGGGAGAACGTTAACTTTGAACTGTTACAACAAGAGAATTGGTAGAATGAATTGTCTTAACGTCGGCGGAGTTCGTCGAGAATAAAACTTGGAAAAGAAGTTAGTATACAGTCCTCTTCGATTGATATCGAGTTAACCAGCGACTGCGGAGTCCGTATAGATTCCGCGACAGATCTAGTTTTTGCGTTCAAAAGTAAATAAGAATGAGCTACTACAATACAGTACCCGTTTCCTCAAAAGAGCCGTTCAGCAACTAACCAAAATGAATGGCAAAATTGAGACCGACAAGGCGCCCTGACCAGCTTGGTGTTTCGTGCGAATTTTTAATAAGATAAAAAACAACGCTTTTGTTTTCTGTTTTGGTATAGTGGTAAAGCGAGTTCGATTATGGAACACTCTGGAACTTTCTTGACATTTTGCAAAGTGATGTAATAATGATGTAATCGTAACAATACCAGGGTGCACAGACGATACACTTTGTAGGGCTGATAATGAACTTAAATTGTGGTAACTGTGAAGTTGAGAAGAATAGCTATAAGGAAGTGTTCTTGATCAAGAGCCGCCCTGAAAGTCAACAACGAACTGTAATGCGATCGCTCAATAATGCTGCTTATGTTGCACGATGTCGCTCCAACTGAATTTCCATTCGTTACATTTGCACGTTAGCCTCATTTCGCGTGGCGCGTGGTACGCCGGGAACGCAGAGGGTAAGGGAGGGGTGAAAGTGTTGACGCGTGACTGACACTTTCTCGTTCCAATCACCCTCCGTGTTATCATGCCGCACGTGCCGACCTAAGCACTCTGAAGACCATCGGGAACGACTCTGCATAGTAATTTTTTTAAACTTCTCTCTTGTGGTATGGGTCACATTTAAGAGACGCACCGGTAATTTGGAAAATTATCTCCATTGCCAAGTGAAAACGCTTAAAGGATACGCGCGGGTAACATTTTTTCCTATGCAAATGCTTTGTGTGTGCAACACACATCCATCGGAGAAGATGACGTAGATGAGACAAAAATACGATAGTGTTCTTCTGTAACTATTTAATAATCTCCAAAAGCGTACACTTGTACTCCAAAAGAGATTTTTGTATGTTTTGGTCGGCTCGCCTCGTCATCTTTCATCAGAGTATCTAAGAACAGGAAGCCTGAACAGTTCTTGCACGTGTAAAACATGTAGTTGGTTTAACTAATGGTTGCTGTTTGCATACATATTATGTAAATAGATTTGTGGGTATTTTTCATCATAAATGTTAGCTTAACAAGCTTAACTCTGCTTTTGTGAAAGGTCACGTTCCAACTTATTTAGGCTGTCATTACAATGACCACATATTAATGATATCTTAAATCTGCTTTCGATTTCAGTAAACATCGCTGCTTGTTAATCAGAACATAGACAGTTTAACCTATAATAGAGACTTTTGGTAATAACCCTTACCAAGTATCTGATCCAGGAGGCACGAGTTGGTACTCTGTCCAGGCCATTACTCTTCAGGGCTTGTTTTTTCTTCAATTTCTTCGATTGCTATTCAAGTGTGAGGATCATTTGTGCTATCTACTCTAACGCTTAATTTGATATCCACCAGATTTTTCTGATGGCGTTCTTCATTTCTTGTCTTAATTCTCTCATTTTCCAGCAGTATAGTAATGGATTTAGAGTCGAGTTAAAGTACAAAAGCGTTATACTGAGAAGCCAGGCGAAGACAATCGACGGCGTGCGCGATGCGGTAATTACAAAAAGTGAGATTAATCCAAACGGTACGTAACAAGCAAGTAATGTTATTTGAACCCACAGTGCTGTGGACACTGTCTTTTTGTATCGCTCTTTGTTCAGTGGAGTTCCTTCTTCATTCGGTTGTCCTTGGTGACTTTGCTCTTGGACTTGTACTTGAGAAAGACGAAGTGTGCGATAAATTTTGGTGTAACAGGAAGTGGAGATTACTATACACATTATAAATCCTGCAGAGGAAATACCAAAAGCCATGCGTCGATTGCCGTAAATCGCCATCATTACGACAGAGGAATACAAAATCCAAAGAGCAACGATGGAAATTTTTACTCGCCTCACAGTTACAACTTGCCTGTATCTTAGCCCTAGCAACAGAGCGAGAAGTCTGTCGACACTTATTGCAGTCATCGTTGACAAAGATACCAAACTAAACACAAAACTCGTATTAAGAACGATCAAAACCCAGGAATAACTGCTCGGGCGCTCTGTCTGAAATAAGAGACCACAAAAAAGAGGATGCGCAATAAGTCCGACGCTCAAATCTGTGAATGCAAGGCAGGCGAGCAAAAGTTTTGACGGCGGGTGAAGAGAAGACACTTTGTAAAGGGCAACGATGATCAGAACATTTCCGACAACTGCACTGATGGACAGAGGAATACCAAGCATCAACACAATTATCTTATGAGCTAATGTAAGCCCTGAAACGCCCGAAAATTCTTGGTTTGTAAATGTGGGGTTTTCATCCTCAGTTGCATTCGCCATTCTTTATTTCAGTCGAGCGTATCGGTTTTGCTCGTCACGCCGCAAGTTGTCGGAACACAAGAAGAATTACATCTCAGCAGTCACCTTCTTTGGCTTCAGTTGAGACAAATGTCATTCAGTGCAGATGTGAATGTCTCCTGAAGATTAAAAAGTACTTTTTCATTATAGAGAAAAGTTGTAAAATGGACTAACGAATGGCAATTCTGTTAAAGATAACGTCAGTCATCCTTAACTATGCCGAGTATTTGCCAGTCACTTATAAAAAACGTTATAGCGAATATTCTGGGTTTTTTTTATTTTTGGAAAAACTGTCCAAATCGATCACCCTGCATTTGCTTGGCGCTCAATCAGTGATTTTTAAAGTTTAGGTGTAAGTTACACAAGCTTTTTATTGTTGAACTAGTGATAAAAAGCCACACACTAACAATTGATCTAGAGTTGCAAGCTTTTGCTTTTCGTCTCTCGCATTTCATAAAGGGAAAATTATATGCAGCTAGAAAAGCCATTGCTCCGTTCTGACACATACGAGACGATAACGTGAATGAAAAGGGATATATTTGATATATAGATGAATATCGATAAATATATTTGATACTTATAGTAGAACGAATTAATCTCCACCTTATCATGATTTATCTTCGATGCGGTTTCCTAACGGTTTTATCAAAACACCAACGCACAGGAAGCTTGCAAAGTCTCATTTTCGGTGCTAAAATTTTTTGCATGAGTGATCTTTGACATCCAGCTATTGTTGTCTAACTGATTAATCAGCGAGAAATACAGTTATTAACAAGGAACGAATTCACTGGTGTTGAAACCTTGCGGATACTAACCTTACATATGTATTGCTGAAAACAGCCTTCCCTAATCTTGCCCCTGTAGGGAGAACTGGTTTTAACACAAAAAAGTCAGTCAGTCTCTCTTCAGATGCTATGATAAATGCGAGCACTTTAACTCTTGCGTGCAGTTGTGAGAGAAATAAAAAACTTACGTTGAATTAGTTAAAACTGTTAGCTGAGACAACTTCCAAATTCTATCTAAGGTAATGTAAGTGCTTTTCAACCATGCAGCTGCATTCTTACCTCTGTTAGAAAATTCTTCATTTAAACAAAGAGAGCGTTGCAATTAAGGCACGCTGAGACCTAAAAAAACAAATAACCTTAGCCTAAGCCCATAATTCGGTCGTTGCGGGTTAACCTTCGATAGAAGAAATTAAAAAATATCTTCTCCTGTGTTTCTTTATTCCAGAAGACGCGTGTCCTAGGATGATGCATATAAGGCCTTTTCGAATTCGCGGCCTCCTTCAGCGGTCTGTAATATTTTATACAGACCTCTGTGGCGAACCCAAGCGAGGTTAAGCTATAATTTCATTTCATTTGAAACTCAAGATGAAAAAAAAACAGAACACAGACAATACTCCTGTGGTGCTACTACTGCGCCCCATCCTCCCCCTCTCCCACCCCTTGCAAAGTAAAAGAGACTTATATCAATAACAAGGGTCGTAAATAGTTCTTGTGAATTTTAAACACAAGTTTGATGAAAAATGACAAACCATCAAAGCTGGTTTTCCTGAAGGGAGCAGTTTCGCAATGTATTATTTAAACAAAACTACGTGTTGTTTTCATTATATCACTGAAATTTCATAATTTTATGTTCAATTTTGTCTACATCAATACAGTGATTGCTTGATTCAACTTTTTCTGCGCAATGCTCGTCAGTGGTCATCGTGAGAGCCTGTTTCCCACATAGCAATTGTTGTATGATCATTAAATAGGTAATTCAGGGAAAACTCACTCTTCCTTTGCTTTCTATATTCCGTCTTCAATCAACAACCCTCTTTCCATCATCTGTATACATGTACCATGTTCTTTATGAAACATATTCTCTTTTCAAATAGGTCTCCAATTAAAATACCAACTTTTCGCCGCCTGTTCTGTCGATTGCCGCTATCAAAATGCGTCACCGTGTTTTGATCAGAACATCGACAGTCTACTCACTTGTAATACAAACGTTTGCTGATAGCGTCCGACTTCTACCTGATATCAGGTGCCAAGGGTTTAAAATCTGTCTAAGTCCGATTTCTTTTGGCTTCTATGTCTGCAATCTAGTCAAATGCATGCACTTCAACTGTAAAGATCATTCCCGTTATGAATCTTATTTTAAACGCTTAATTTGACAGGAAGCATATTTTCTGAAAGAGCCCTTCACTGCTTGTTTTATATCTCTCATCTTCAAACTGTACAGGCCAGAATGGGTTAAGAGTCGAATTAAAGCTGTCTGCGCCCAGAGGAAGAAAATTGTTGGCGTTTGTAATCCCGTGGTTATGAGACCTGAGACTAAACTGATTGGGAGATAACAAGCCAATAATGTAATTTGTACCCGCAGTGCTGTGGACAGTTGATTGCCTTCTCCATTCCGTTGTCCTTAGTGATCTTGGTCTTGCTCTTGTGCCTGCTGAGAAGGGCGAAGAGTGAGGTATATTTTGGTGAGGCAGAAAGTTGTGGTTACTATGTACGATAAAAGTGCAACAGAGATTATGCCTAAAGCAATACGTTGGATATAAAATGCTACAAAACGCTGCGACAGAAATGCTGAAAAGAAGTGCAGTGACTTGACTTTTTCCTCATCCAAAGTGAAAAAACGAAAGTCAAAACTTGCACATCCAAAACAATTGATCTCTTTAGCTTGTATGTTTCGTTTACCCATTTCAGGTCTCAGGGCAATTCCCAGCTTGATCTTTTGTAAACTATGTGCGTACATGTGCACGTGAATGAGAGGAAATTTGAACCAAACATAAAAGAAAATGTTTTTTCGAAGGGAAGTGGAGAGGACCGCTCCAGGCGAGAGAGGCACTTAATACAGGTTTCGCGCTTATGCATGTGAAGTTTCCTTGACCAGTTGACCCATAACACCCCAACATCAGCATGTATATTCTACATACATTTCCTATGCACGGAAGTAACGAGGAAACTTAGTCGCGGACAACATCAAGAGCTTTTCAAGTTTGAGATCTTTTGTTAAATTCTCATGAGCCTTATGGTTAATTCAGCAGTGAAACCTTAGTGAGAAATAGATGCTAGATGCCCTAAAGGGTTGAAGGGTTATTACCATTACCATCGGTTGTGTTGAGTTTTACATATCTAGATAAGTTAAACAATGTATTTGTCGGATATTAGCTTCGAGGAAGCTGTATTCCTTTGAGCCTCTCTATCTCTCCCTTTCTCTTTCTAAATGTTTGGCTTCTTTTTAACTTTTCTTTGCAACATTCAACCAACCTAGCCTTTGTTTTTAAAAATAATTGTAAACTTTTGGGACGTCACTTAAGTCGATAACATTTTGTGCTTTTTCAAATGAGATATTGCATGCTTTACCACAGCAAATTTTCCCGCTAAATCAGATGAAAAAACAATTTATTTTTCCTTAAGTCTCAATGTTTCCTGAGACAAAGCTAGTTGAAAGAAACATCGAGACTTTCAGACGAAAAAAGAGACAAAAATTGTATCCGATCCCGTCAAAGCCAGACAGTGAGTGTATAATGATATCAGAAAACATTGTGCAACGGAAAGCAATATATTCGCTGCATAAATAAGTCTCTCCTCTGTTGGTTATGTTTGCCGTGTTTTTCGTGAGCAATCGGCTTTCAGTCGGTTGTGACAATCAAAAAACAGGGCGTTCAAAACTTGAACTTAAGCTTGAAGCGGCTTAGCAGTTTAGTTTGTTTTTGTAGATGATCAGAGGAAGCTGGTTCTTATTGGGACGGCGAAACATCACCATTAAACCAAAGCGTGCTTGCTTTTTGCTTATGAAACCGGTGCTTTATCACTGGTTAGTCATTAGTTGTTTGAGTGATTGTTAAAAGTTCCATTTCAGTCGTGTTTATCGCAGACAAACCGTCATTTGGAAGTCATTGTAAATCAGCTGAAAGGAAACTTATTACATAAAAAAAAGGAAAAATGATCCGGGTTTTTTGATACGTTCACGCTGGGCTTTTTCGAAAATTTTTTTCTTTGTTAACACTTTATTCAGTTTGAATATCTCTTTTTTTAATTAGTAATAATGTACATGAAAAAATTACGCGCGTCTGATTGGCTGAAAACGAGTGCATTTTTCATGTAATACCAGTGCAAAATTGTAACACTAGTGCATACTACAAATAGCGCGCGCGCGCTGCCAAAGTTTCGCCGGTCTTGACTTTCTGTGATGCGTTTTACGGGCTCGTGCGATGTGGTTGTCTTTGAGAAATTTACTCGTGCTTATTAACACCAAATTGCACTCGAAATCACGTTGTTACTTAAACTTATATTTAAATTAATCCCGAAAGATGTTATTTGTATCTTTGTTGTTGTTTCTCGCATTTTTCCACCTCTTTGCCTGAATTTCCATTTCTTGTTCTCGTCAAAAGAACTCTTCCGGTCATGTCCTCAAACTAATTAGAACATTTTGTCTGTATTTTAAAAGCATCGCTTAGTGTTCGATTCAGTTTATATCTCTCACCTATTTTTTCCAGTGACATGGGTACAAGTGATGGATAACTGTTGTATTTGACTCGGTTGGGTCAAGCCTCTCGACTGACGTTTTAACTAACGGAGGAATCATTATATCTTCTTTAAGTCACGATACCCTTAAGTTGCTTCGTGCTGCGATAAACAAAACTTTTTAATCGTGTCCTTTACTGCTTGCCTTAATTCTCTCATCCTCCAGCAATACAGCAATGGGCTCAGAGTTGAATAGGCATACATCAGACTCGTTGCTAGAGCCAAAGAAAACCAAAGGAATGGTGTATTCAATCCAGTGATGGTAATAAAACCTAAAAATAAACCAGATGGGAGATGACAAGCCAGAAATAGTCCTTGAATCCAAAGTGCTGTGGACACTGTCTTTTTGTATCGCACTCCGTTCACTTGGATTCCTTCTTGATTTGGTTGTCCTTCGTGACATTGGTCTTGCACATGTGCTTGAGAAAGACGAAGTTTGTAGTAAATTTTGATGTAGCAAAATGAAGAGGTTACTGCGCAAGATAAAAATGCTGCAAAGGCTATGCTATGACTCATTACATCTTATTGAAGTCACGGTACTCTTAAGTTGCTTCGTGCTGCGATAAACAACAAAACTTTTTAATCGTGTCCTTTACTGCTTGCCTTAATTCTCTTATCCTCCAGCAATACAGCAATGGGTTCAGAGTTGAGTAGGTATACATCAGATCCGTTGCTAGAGCCAAAGCAAACCAAAGGAATGGTGTATTCAATCCAGTGATGGTAATAAAACCTAACAATAAACCAAATGGGAGATGACAAGCCAGAAATAGTACTTGAACCCAAAGTGCTGTGGACACTGTCTTTTTGTATCGCACTCTGTTCATTTGAATTCCTTCTTGATTTGGTTGTCCTTGGTGATCTTGGTCTTGCACTTGTGCTTGAGAAAGACGAAGTGTGTAGTAAATTTTGATGTAGCAAAATGAAGAGGTTACTGCGCAAGATAAAAATGCTGCAAAGGCCATGCGTGAAGCAAGATGTAGACTATATAATGCTACCATTGCCACAGAAGCGCTTAAAAGCCAGAGAAAAATAGTAAGGAATTTTACTCGCCTCACAGTTACCACCTGCCTGTATCTAAGCCCAAGCAATAAAGCAAGAAGTCTGTCCACACTAATTGCAGTCGTTGTTGTCAAAGATACACCCCTAAACGCAAAAACCGCGATAAGAAAAAGGATCCAAAAGGTGTAACAAAAAATAGAATTCTTTGGGGAGAAAGAAAATGCACTAAAAAGAGGATGGCAGATGAGGTTCATTACCAAATCTGTACACGCAAGGCAACTGAGAAGAAACTTCGATGGCGGATGAAGAGAACAAACCTTTTGAAGAGCAACGATGATCAGAACATTTCCTGAAACTGCACTGATGAAAAGAGGAATGCTCAAAATTGATAGTATTATATTATGTGTCTCCCTAAGACCTATACCGCAGGAGTATTCTTGGTTTGTGATTGTATGGTTTCCATCTTCCGTTGAACTTGCCATTATTTCAGTCAAGCGGGTTGCTTAAGCTCGTTATCCACGTTGTCTTCACATGCGTAAGGTTTAGGTCAACTGATGTATCAACTGATGTATCGCTTCTTTGGTTCAAATTTGAATTCCCCCTATTGATTGAAAAGTAATGTTTTGAAATTCAATTTTATCGCGCGATACATGAGATTTACTGTCGCGCGAGAAAGGCATTGCCAACCCCGTTAAGAAAGAACTTTCCAACTGTTGCAGCCATTGTTGTCTCGTCCACGGAAACAACGTGCGCGACAGCCGATCACGTGAGACCTAACAAGTTTCCCATTTATCGCGCGATATTTTGATTTTATCGCGCGATAAATGAGATTTATTACATCCATTTTGAAATCACTGGTGGTCCCTGTAATATGATTAGCTCTAACTGGTGCGATTTATTCACGAATCACACCGTTTTCTGCTTTAAATCGCATCTTTTTCCCAGCCAATGAGGAGGCTACACTAAAAACAAAACAGCCAATCAGATTTGAAGGCTTGCTCAAAGTAACCGATCAAATTGCAGAAAAATGAAAGACAAAGTAGTATCATGTGGCAAATTTTGCAACTTTTGTTGACAGTTTGCCAACTCTTACTTTTTCCACCCAAAAAATGGATGAATTTAATTTCAGACCGGCTCAGTACTGCATCAATAAAATATTTGAACTGACCAAGTCCTGTATTTGGGCGATTTCAAAATGGTTGTAATAAAGTGGTAATTGAACCTTGTGGAGTGCAATTTGGGCTGTGCAGGAAAATGTGAGACAAAGAGTATTATGTGGCAAATTCTGCAACTTTTGTTTCCAAAACTGTTATTTTTCCCCCAAAAAAATAGTTGAATTTGATTTCAAACCAGCTCAGTACTGCTTCAATAAAATATTTGAACTGACCAAGTCCTGTATTTGAGCTATTTCAAAATGGATGTAATAAAGTGGTAATTGAACCTTGTGTCGTGCAATTTTGGTCTGAAATCATACTTGTGATTTCAAATCGAACTAGCGCTGCGTGCTCGTTCAATTTTGAAATCATGCATATGATTTAAGCCCAAATTGCACTCCACTTAGTTCAATTACCATTATTTATCGCGTGATACAATTGATTTTAAAAAGTGGATAGCTTGTCCTCTATGGGCCACCGAAGTAAACCCTTATCGAAAGAAAAACATTTTCAGGCGTTGAAAAAAAAAAAAAAAAAAAAAAAAAAAATATATATATATATATATATATATATATATATATATATATATAACAGTACTGTCTGCAGTTAGTTTTATATATATATATATATATATATATATATATATGGGAGGGAAGGGGGGGGGGCAGAAACTGCAGCCTATACGTATAAAAACGAATATTTATGTATATAAATATGTAAATATATAATGTATATTATATACATAATTTAAATTTTTTTTTTTAATACGAATAGGCTGCAAGTTCTGCCCACTCCATATATATATATATATATCCTTTCTCATTTTAGGCTTTCTCTTTCTCTCTCTAAAAACATTAAAATTATATACATAATTTGTTTTCAATACCAATAGGCTGCAACTTCTCTCCCCCCCCCACCCCCCACCCCCCAAGAGAAAATCCTAAAATGAGAAAGGAGCGATTTCGAGAAGAATTAGTCAGCTTTTACGTGGCAAAAAGGAAAAAAAATGTTTCCCGTTACATTTCTAAACCGATATAAAAGGTAGTTTATAGCTCTGTCCAGTCTTTCATTATAGATGTTTTAAAACTGTTCGGACCTAAGCAAGTTCAGCCGGCTTTCTACTCGAAAGTGATCAGCGTGCAAATTCTAAATTGTTTCAGAGGTAGAGGATTTTAAAATTTCCATATTTGTAGAAAGAATTATATTTAATGAAACGAAGAAAGTTTCCAGATCGAAAACATATTAGATCCTCTCGTTAAAGATTTCGCTGATAAAGTGATTTCAAATCTGAACAAATTCATGCACACACGAGGGAAAACATCGCCAGGTGATTCTTCGTCAAAATGTTCCCTTCGCGAATTTATTGGAACACTACCGAAGGAAAAAGAAAAAGGAATGAAAAACCTTCATAGTTTTATACTTAATTTGAATGAGAAGCTCGGTAATCTAGTTAGCCAATGATCGCTTTTGACTGAATAAGGAACGACGTACCTGATATTGGAGTATTTCGAATTCTATGCTGGTCTTGTAACGCGGATAAACAGGAAGATTAAGCAGTTTGTTTTTCTTTGATCTTTGTCTCTACTGTTTGTTGGTTATTGGAGTGCTCATACAAACAAGGAGATGAAACAGTCGGTTCTCGCAGCTGACTATTATGTGTGTGTAGAAAATGGATGTTTTTAATTGAAAATTTGCTTTTGATTGCTAATTTGATCAAAGGTAATTTGAATGTTACTCAGCACCCCAGACCAAATGTAAGTTGCTGTTTTGAAATTCTTAAAACATCGCCAGGTGTTTTGACATCGTCAATTATTCTTTTCGTGAGTAGTGCCACACACACAACCAAAAAAGAAAACCTTTTTAGTCTCTAGTTTAAATTGATGAAAAGTTCTCTTGAGTAATCTGTATAATCAAGCTATCGTTTTTGACACGGGAACTACGTACCTGATATAAGAATGACTTAAACTCCATGCTGGTGCTGTAGCCGCTTCAGTTTTATAAGGTTACTCTGCTAGATGAAAACCGTTCTCGCCTCTGCCTATTATGTATGTCTCGAATGTGACTGATTAGGTTAGATGCCTTTGATTGGACGATTCAGTTCTTTGTGAAAACTTGAAAGCGGAATCATGGGTAATTTAAATGTTACCTACAGCAAAGTCTTATTTGTTTATTGCCATATTGAGATTCTTTAACCAATTATTTAAGAGTGTTTCAAAGGCGTTTTTCACCTTCAGCAACCACAGGTAAGCTACGCCCGATACACGGGTATTATTAGCTCTTAGAAATAAGACGATCTTTTAAAAACGGAGGAAAATTGATTGAAACATGTTAATGAAACTATATTAAAGTATCAAACGCTATATTTCTGACAGTCTCGATGCATCGCCAGGCCCTTCGCGTATCATCGTTGGCAATGGGCAACACATGACAACAGGTAACGAAGTATCGGTCCTTTCTCCGGTGCCACGGGGTTTTTTTTATTATTTCAGTGGCATAACAACTGTCCTCGTTTTGCAATCAAGGCACTAATTACAGTCTTTTTAACTTGGCTGAAAATGACTAAAACTTAAGATTTTCGGTATTTTTTTTCAGTATTCACCCACCGCCGCGAACATGGAATAAGTAATAAGTTCAGAATGGGTCTGTGTTTCTTGATTCTCTCGGAAGCCGTAGTATAGTATGTGTATTTACAATGTATGTCTTTTTCACAATTCAAAAAACACAGGCAAGTGATAGGTAACTAAATAGCAGTCAATAAACTATGTTTTCTGGAGTCCACAACCCTATTCCAACTGAGTTTTCATTCGTTACACTTACATGTGAGCTTCATTTCGCGCGAGGCACGCAAGTTATGGCGAATATTCTGGCCTTTTTTCGGAAAAACTGTCTAAATAGATCACTCTGCTTTTGCTTGACGCTCAATCAGTGATTTCAAAATTTAGGTGTAAGTTGCACAAGCTCTTTATCGTTGAAGGCGATAAAAAGCCACACACTAGCAATTGATCTGGAGTTGCAAGCTTTTGCTTTTCGTCTCTCGCATTTTATGGGGAAAAAATGATAACTATATGCAACTAGAAAAGCTATTGCTTCGTTCTTACACATACAAGACGAGAACGTGAATAAAAAGGGATATAACTGATATATGTGCTAAAAGACGAAATAATTTCCATCTTATATTTATCTTCAATGCGGTTTCCTAACGGTTTTATCAAAACAACAACACAGGAAACTTGCAGTCTCATTTTCGATACTGAAATTTTTTGTTTGTGTAATCTTTTACGTCAAGCAATTGTTGTCTAACTGATTAATCACTGAGAAATACAGTTATTTACTAGGAACGAATTCACTCGTGTTGAAACTTTGTGGATACTAACTTTACATGTATTGATTAAAATGCACATTTGTCAAAGGCCTTTCCTAATCTTGTCCTTGTATAGATAACTAGTTTTAACGCGAAAAAGTCAGTCAGTCTACGGTCAGATGCTATGATAAAAGCGTGCACTTAGACTCTCGCGTGCAGCTGTGAGAGAAATGAAAGACTTACGTGTAATTAGTTAAAACTGTTGGTTGAGACAACTTCTAAATTCTATCAAGAGTAATATGAATGCTTCTTAACCATGCGGCCGCATTCTTCTCTCTGTTAAACAATTCTTTATTTAATTAAAAAGAGCATTTGCAATTAGGGCATGCGAAACCTCAAAAATACAAATAACCTTGGCGTAGGACCATTATTCGGCCGTTGCGGGCTAAGCCTTCACCGGCGTTTCTTTATTCCGGGAGACGCGTGTCCTTGGATGATAAGTTCGGCGAGAATTTTAATCAAAGAAACCTTCTCTTTGCGCCAATGCTTGCCGCGTTGAATGAATTAATACTGTTTCTAGAAGTTGTTTATTTTAATTCTAGTAGCTTCCGCAAGACTCTTGCTCTGGGATAATGAGCGAAGAGTAGTAAGAGAGTTGTAACGATATTTGTGGCTTCGTAGTTAGTAAATGCGTACCTAAGACTGCTTAGATTGACATGAACACCAGAAACAATGAAAGCACAACGGAGAACAGGAGCAGACGACCCAAGCGAAGTTAAGCTATAATTTAATTTCATTTGATTTGATCAAAAAGAAAGGTCACCTTTCCAAAGAAATCTAAGATGAAAAGATGAAAGAACGCAGACAATACTCCTGTGGTGCTACTATTACGCTCCCTTGAGTGATTTCAGTCGTGTTTATCGTAGACAAACTGTCATTTGGAAGTCATCGTAAATCAGCTAAAAAGTAAACTTATGGGCTTTTCACTGAGCTGAATCCTTCAAATGTTTTACAAAATTTCAGCTAC